AATTTTTTTTTATTTGCTTATACGACCTTGCATTTTATGCAAAATGATTTTTATTATAATTCCGCACAGTTCTGAGAGATCAAATTCTAACAGATTTATGAAATGGTTTTGATACAGAATCAACAACAAAATATATTTAGAGTTAAGGGTTGTAGCTGCAGGTGACTAAGAAAGTGCACCTTGCTATTTCAAAATGTGTATAATGGGTAAAATTTAAGTCGCTTGCATCGTAGCTCAACGCAAAATGAGTACAATTATATTGATTTAATAGAATTTTTACACCTCTGTCCATTTAATAAAGCTTAGCCTCTAAATATATCATACTTATCAGGCTGTAACCAAAATTGCTGTACGATTCATTGCAAAACAAATAAACAAATTCTATTTGACATACAATTTTAAACGATATATTTACACACATCAGAAATATATATCTTAATTAAAATTCTAAAAAATTGTGTTCTATTCCTACGTTTAAATATATTCATCTTCCATATAAAGGGCATTAAACATCATTAGTAATATTTTACATATGGTAACAAATATTATCTTTAAAATTAACACATTTACACAAGCTTAATGTTTGATTAGTTTTCCATAGAAAAGTTTACGCAAGATTAAGATTTTCACTGGTTTTCTATAGAAAAGATTCGAAAAAAAAAACTTGTGTAAACGTTTGACATTTTTTAAAAACTTATATATTAAAAGTAATCATAATTCTCAGCATGAAATTGACAGATTATTAAGAAAAAAATATAAGTATTTAAATACACATTTGATAAGATCTTGATGTTTCATTTAGTTAAAAAAATATGACTATACATAATTGCAAACCCTTGTGCTTTGCAATGATTTTACTCACACATACATATGTGGCTTAAAGTGTCCATATCTGATTTCTAATGGGAGCTCACGTACATGACACACAGACCCAGATGGCTTGCAAGCTGAAAGCTCGGCACAGTGCCGAAGTGCAGTGTGCTTAAAGCTCACCAATACTAGCACATTTACCAATACACACGCATATAGCTGAGTTATATGTATGCATGTAGCATAGAGTTGATATCCAATCTTAAGCTATTAGTTGCAAGCGACTGCTCCGTAATCTACAGCTTCTTATTACGATAAGGTCCACACAGCGGAGAGATAATAGAGTCTCGGGATCTGGATCTCTGGAGCTGTGGGTACTGTTAATTAACACGCCAGTTCATCAAATGAAATTCACTAAATTTTCACAAAGCCATGTTAATTAAAAGCGCCGTTCGTGGCACATCTCACCCTCTCTCTCTTTCTCTACCCCTCTCTATTCGGCCACCTCTTCTTGTCTTCTGCCTTTTTGCGCTTGAGATATTTTTTACACAAGTCTGGAAGTTGTTTGCTTTTTTGTCGACGCTTCAAATGTTGTTTGTGGTTTTATTTTTATCAGCGACTGTAGAAAAAATATATATGTGTATACATGTATAAAAAAACTGCATTGAGGCATCGAGTGGCAGGCAAAACGTAAACAAAACGCATTTTGATAGTCGCAGCCAGCACACGTTTGCCCTGCTCACTCGCTGCCTCTCTCTCTCTCTCCCTCTCCCACACTTGCTGCCTGCCTGCCAGGCAGCCTGCCTCTTTGTGCGCGTTGTATTTATTTATTGCGTGTAAATTTCGGGAGTAAACAAATAACCAAAAAAAAAAAGAAGAGAAATACTTAATAATATCGCAGCTTGCTGCTGCGCTTATTTGTATTTCCGTGACTGGAGCGCATGACGAATTGACAAATTGTTTGATTGTCGCTTGAGTGAAATTGTTGGAATGTGCATTTTGGTTTTGGGTTTTGCCTTATCGTTTGCCGTTGTTGTTGTTGTTGTTGTTCTTGTGTTCTGTTCTGGTTGCATAACGCGCAGACGTAGCCACGCACACAACGAAACAGATTTGCCGGCTGTTTTATGAGAGATAAAAACCCATCAAGAACCTGAGCATAAAAGACTCGCGAGCGCAAGTTTGGCTCATTGCAAGCTCCAATATGAAACATCACTCTCTCGCTCTCTGAGAGAGCCGCTCAGTTATGCAACGGCTACCCAGTCGCGGCGAAGAGCGGCACAAAGCGAGCATACGAAAAAGCTATATTGCCTGCCTACCTGTGCCTGACACCGACCAGCCCGCCCTCCCCCTGAGCAGCGGTTTTATGCTGGCAAAACTTCTACTTAAGCTTCGTTTGTTGCTTTGTCTGAGCGCAAGATTCTGCACATTTTACCGTTAACTTAATGGCTAAATCACCGTTTAGAAACGTAAGAAGTTTTTGTAGCTTTTGTTGTTGTTGTTGTTGCTGTTGTGGTTGCTTGTAGTTTTAGTGTTGAGCGATTTCAGCGAAAATTCTCATGTCGAAACGTAATTATAGTATTTCTTATATTTCGCAAGACGTGCTTAGATTTTAATTAAATTAAAATTACACTCAATTGCGAGTGCCTGGGAGCGACTGTCAAAAGTTGTGCTGCCATTGGATTTTGTGTGGGGATCAAGCGAAACATGCTGCCACAGGGCCATTGGGGATTTATGCGCTGATTGTAATACCCAGCTACGTGTGTGGGTAAAATCCGTGGGTATATTAACAGGTAAAGCAGACTGTTTCTGTGTGTATGTAAATTGCTATAGATTGGTGCAACAAAGCTACGTTCAGCCTTGGACCTGTAATTGATATGCTTTTCATATTTAGCAGCCCTTACATGTCTTCTGTTTCTAGTCTCTATTAATTGTTGAATATCACACAAAATTTAATATACTTTACCCTAAAACTTGTTTATTACTTGTCAACTGATAATCTTTATCCTATACTCGTGTTTTCTCTTTGGCTGCCACGCCCACAAATGCACATAGAGAAAAATGTGATGAGTTTATGTTTTGCTCGCCAGTTCCTGACAAGAAGAAAACAATGCGCTTTGTTTTAATCAATCAAAAGACAAGAGAAAATATATGAAATGCAATTTACACAGTGCAACAAAATATATATAATACATACGTTTACCAGATATCAGATGTATATACATGTATATATAAATGTATCTATATACATATCTAAAGGCGCCCACACAACGCAACAAAAAGCAACAATTATTAACAATGACAAGCAGCAACAACAACAGCAAGAGCAAGAGCAAATGCATTATTATCAGTAAAAACACATGACAAAAGAATGCCAGAGAGCGAGAGGGGCGAAAGAGGGGGACAGAGAGAGAGAGAGAGAGAGAGGGAGACAGAGACTGAGACAGAGACAGAGATTATGCTTCTGCTTTTGTGCCACGCGTACAGGAAATTATATAAAACATGTTTTTGCTGCTCGGGGCAGGGCAAGGCATTGCAAGGGGATAGGGAAAGGGGGGAAGGGGGTGTGTGCGCACAGCCAAAGGCAAAAACAATAAGAGAAAATAATAAAACAAAAACAAAACGCATTGCAGTTGCAGTTGTTGTGCGTGTGTGTGTGCGACAGCAAATGTTGCTGTTTGCTTAAAAAGCAAATACAATAAAGCATTCTCTCTCTCCCTTTCCCTCTCTCGCTGTCGCTCTCTCTATCCATGTGTATCTCTCAGTGCGAAAATATATAAAGGCAACAAGAATGCAGCAGCAAAATAAAAAATATGAAAAAAAAAATACAACAAATATTTTGTTGTTGTTGTTGGGTGGTGGCTGCGTTGAGTATACGACACGTTAGCAACAAGGGAAAAAATACTCGCACACACACACACACACGCACGTGTAGCAACTGAATGCGTTGTCTCACATTCGGATTATGCAGCTGATGAGCTTATAAGAGGAGAGAACAGGCAAAGAAGATAAAGCAAAAGCCTCAACAGCAGCTTCTCAAGCTCAAAGCACACACACACACACACACACACACAAACATACAAACACACATTGTAAGAGGGTTTAATATAGGGTTAACCATTGGAGTTGTCGTATCGGACGTAGTTTAATTAAGTAAATGCTGCCGTGAAAAACTTATAATTATTTAAAATATCTTCTCGATTCTTGGCATAACTTTAAAATTATTCTATAAAACAATATCAGTTGATTTTAAATCATACTTTTAGCCTAGAAAAGTTAAAATAATTTAACGAAGAATTTGAGAATCAGATATTAAAAGAAACACATTGTTAAAACTATTAACTACTTAAATCGACATATTTATTTAAATACCCATCCTAAATTTGGTTAATTTATATCTCGTTTAAATTTACGAATAACTATATTAATTTGTAATTTCTAAAATTATAAATCAAATAAGTTATAAAAACAATTTTATTTAAATAAATTATTTATAAAAATATTTCCCAAGTACAGAAGCCTTAGCCTAGCTAAGTGCCTTTTTCTTTTTTTTTAGCCGCATCTTATCGGGCATCAAATAACACTAAACAGAATTTGCAAAAACGTCTTTAATAACATACAAATTTTGACCACTGTGCGTATTTTTAGCATACATTTAGACATAAGCATTAACCCTTGCTTGCCGAAAAGAAAAACTTGCACTTGGCCAGCGGCAACACACAAAGGCCCCCTACATAATGTCTGCCCCTGCGACCCCGTGACCTCTTCGCTTCCCCCTTTTTGCATAGAGAGATTCACACTTGGCGCCTTTTACTAATTTCGCCTGGGCTGCGCGTTGGTGTTGTAGAGTTTTCTTTTTGGGCAACTGGATGAAGCGAGCCGAGTCGGGGGCAAGGAAGATTTGCGGGGTAGGGCCGAAGGCGGCTCGACCCTAAGTGTTTCTTGTAACTTGAGTCTTCAAGTGGCCAGCTGGCATTTGCTTTTGCCAGTTTTTCTTCTTTTCCCGAGGCAAAATGCTCCCAGTGTGTGTGGTTGTGTTTGTGTGTGTGTGTGTGTGCGAGTGTCGAGTGAGGCAACTTGTGTCAAGCCCAACAACGTTTTGTTAAAAAAATAATAAAATAATGCCATAAAAGTATTAAAAAGAATTGTACAAAAATGTTAATAAAATTTTATCTTGTTTTCTTTCATTGCAGTGTTTCATTTACGTTTCGTAGCGCGTTTTTATGTGTAGCCCCCACAGTTAGACATCAAATCAACGACAAGCACAACATTAACAACAAAAACAACAACAGCAGCAAAAACAACGACGGGCACATCTAACGCTGCAGCTAACAGATGAGCCCCAACAACAGATGTCAATTGCTGCAGCCGAAAATGCAGGGTAAGTGCACAAAACAAAACATAAAATAAAAAGAGGAGAAATGAAAATAAACTTGAGCACAAAGAACTCGAGAGATAAAACAAGCCAAAAGTGGCATTAAGATGAATGAATGACTAGTTGGAGTCTTATATGTCAGCTTCAGGGCTGACTCAGCATTTACAAAGATTTCTGCCTGGACTAGCGCACATCAAATGTCAGTAACAGCAAATGAAAAAAAAAACACATAAAAGGAACATAAAAATATTTGTTAAAATGTTCGGAAAGTAGCATTGAGGAGAATGAGTCATTTTGAGTATTGCATTTTAGAAGAATGAGTAGTATTGAGCTTTATATTTTAAAGTAATTAAATTGAAAGAATAAGTGCATTTTAGAAAATTAAACAGTCTATACCGCACTCACCACTATATTTAAAATACTCAAAGTATTGTATCTATAACAATGAGTAGTTTTGAGTGTTGTATTCGACAAAAATAAGTAGCTACGTTTTTGCACTTTTGGGTACAGCGTATTTTCAAGGAATTAAGTATTATTAAGAGAATAATTGAGGAGAATTTATATTTCCACGCATTATATAGATTAATCAATATTGGGCTATTTAAATTAAATATTATATTTCAAGAGTTTAATGAGTTAATTAAGTAAATTCTTAACAACAAATCTTTTGCATATTTTCAAATTTGTATTTCAAAATTTATTGAACATTAGCCAAAAAGCGCACATCTATCTAAATTTTCGTTGTTTAAAAATGCCTCAGCGAACTCGTCAAAATTCCTTAAGCAACGGAAAAATACAACAATCACATGTTATAAGACACGCAGCTTCTGAATTTAGCGGCTGCTGTTGCTGTATCTGTAAGTTTACCTGGTCTAGACTTGGGCCAGAAAAAATAACTAACTGTATTTGCAGACGAGCACGAAAAAAAAAACAGAAGATGATATATGGGCTCATGTGCGAGTCATTAGAAGCTCATTGAATATTGCGACATCACGCCCCGAAATCAGCTATCATTAATTGCACGTTCTGGCAGTCGTCGACGTTGTCATGTGTATCTCACAGATACAAATGTAGCGACAAACTAACAAAACACTCCAGATACAAATGTATCTTCCACTTAACTGGCAGCGGCAATGGCGGCGTCGGGTCACGCAAAGTCTACGACACCTTGCCACCAAATTTAGCTATAAAATTCGAGAGAGATAGAGAGAGAGAGAAAGAGAGAGTGAGGGAGAGAGCGAGGCAGATTGAGATTCTCTGCATTGTCTGTGGCTCAATCTTGTTCTCAAATATTTTTGCGCATATTTCGGCCTTTGATTTATAGCTTTCAATTTGGGTTCTTGGGTTTTTGTGGCACATTTTTTCGCCGACATCGTTTCGGCGTTTCTATTGCCGCTCATAATTTCTCAAGTTTGTTTTGGTATTTCGTTTCATTTGTTTTTTTCTCAGCTTTTGATTGAAATTGATTTTATGACCTTTTTATATTAGTTAAACTGAACACCGCGTGGAAATTTGTGGCGATTTTTATTATTTGACTTGCACCAAATGCTCGTCTCTTTATATTGTTTTTGTGACCATTTCGGGTTTACGGCCAGCGTGGGAGATGTTTCTTAAGCCATATAGAATGTGATCATGTGATTGAATATATATACTGTTATAAAAGTGCAGCCGAATTTATTGAAGGAGCTTAGTTGAATTATTGTTGAAATATATTATTTGTTGTGTTGAGCGCATTTAGAGAGCAGTTTGTTAAATCATATACTTGTTGTTTTACTTGGCAGAGACAATTTCATAAAAGTTGAAATAAACAATTCAATAAATAATATTTTAAATAAATATATAACAGATCAAAGAGTGAATTGTAAGAGAATTGTGTCTGGATTTTATCTTTAAACATTATGTGTTATAATAAGATATATGTCGATTATAATATGCCTTAGTTCAATATGATAACTTTGCAATTTTCAAGGTTCAAGGTTATTTAATTGCCTGTAAATAGATTTATAAATAGTTAAGACTATTTGAGGTAACTCAGCAAGTCTTGAAGATACTCTGCTTAAGCAATTGTTATATATTTTGGGCGCATATAAACAAGTTTCTTAGGCAACAATTTAGATAAAAAGATATATATAGTTATGTAAATATAAGAGCTGCGTTCAACTCAATTTACACTGTACACACATACACACACATAAATGAGTATATATGAAATCCATTCGAATTTTATGCCACTTTCCCAGTGCAGGCAGCAACATTTAATGACTAAATCAACGCAACGTCTGTTGAACATTTTCACTGCATAATTTTCACTTTTCTTTGATGCGGCAACAGAAAACGAAAGTGAAATAAACCAAAGACGCAAAATTGCGGCTCCACGAATGAGAAATAAATACATGCAAAAAAGAGAGGGGTAGACTGTCAGAGTGGGACAGACAGACATTTCAGATAGAGTTACGAGTGCAAACGGTTTTTGGGTTTAGGCCTACAAGCACACAGCCCAAGCACAGTGAAGCCTCTCTCGGCCACGCTGATGAGTTTGGCCTACTTTCACTTTCGTTTGGTTTCGTTTCGTTACCATTTTTTTTGTTTTCTAGCGCGCTAGGCTGTTTTTTGGGCCTGGCTCCGGCCCCAGCTTAGCCGGTTTTTCCAACCACACAGACCCACTGACAATGAAATAAAGTTGTTTCATATTTCATGGCAAGTTGAAAAACTGAAACCGAAACTGAAACTGAAACTATTTCAGAGGCAGAGGCAACGGCAGCAATAGATATGCAACTAACAGCGCCTAAAAAAGTTGGCATAGAAAAATGCCTGTAAATTACTCATCAACTGTAGACAAACCAAAGGCTTTGTGCGGGCCTAGAAAACGAGTAGAAAAATAAAAACCTAGTTTTGTTTCGCCCGTTTTTTTTTTTTTATCAATGGCCAACAACAAGTCGTGGCTTTGTGTTCGCGCCCACGTAATAACAGGCATTGCAGTATATACACACATATTTTATTTATTTATTTTTTTCAATTTTATTTAGTACCTCATATAAATCTATTAATTTTTGAATGTTTTGCTCGCTTTGCGCTCCCACTTTCACTTTTGTCAATCGCAATTAGTGTGGCTAACAGCAAAAACAACAACAACAGCAAAAACAACAACAAAAACAACGACAATATGAATAAAGTTTCTCATTTTAATTGCGCTCGTCTTGAAATGAGCCTACAACAAAAGCAAAAAGCAATTTAATTGCTATTGCAGCGTTTTGTTGTCAAATCAAGCAACAAGCGACAACAACTACGCAAACAGTGTTAAAACTTTTAATTGTTTGTGCATTGCCTTTAAACTAAAAGTTTGACTAGTTACCCGGCTTTTGGGCTTTCAGATACTTTTGTATCTGAACGTGTCGCAACCGATTTGCGGATTACATGCGTCTGACTAATTGCTGCTTGGATAATCCTGCCCAAAGTTTGATAGATGTTGCCTTGACAAAGAAAGATGTGTATATTAAGACAAATTATTAAGACAAATCTAATAATCTCAATCAATTTTAATTAAATAATTATAAACTGTTGGCAGTAGCGCAATAAAATAGGACTGAAAGTGAAAGATCTCCTGAATAAAAGCATATAATTATTTAAATTCATTAATTCTATTATTCCAAGAATATCTACAAATAACAAAAAAATTTTCATATTAATAATAAACTAATTGCAGTAGAGCATAAAATATTAACTAATGGTATATAAACTAGTGCCTAGGAATTAAAGTGAAAGATATGCATAAGAAATACATATAAAATCCTTAGTTAACTGCAATATTCTCAATCTCTATATATAAAACTGTTTGTCCTGACTGACTGACTGACTGACTGACTGACTGACTGACTGGTGATCAACGCACAGCCCAAACCGTAAGAGCTAGGAAGCTGAAATTTTCACTGTAGCTACCTTATGTGATGTAGGTGCACGTTAAGACGGGGTTTCGGGAAATTCCACCCGCAAGTGTGGAAAATTCGCGAAAAACGTTTGTATGTAACTTTTTTGTTTACCATCCGATCGGCCTCAAACTCATGTTCAAAGATCTTTGTTCAAATTCATTTGAGGGGTGTTTCTCACTTTTCGAAAAATCCGTTCCTCCTTGGTGGAAATGGAGGTCAAAAATTTGGTGGGTGACGTTTCGCGCTCAAATTCATTTCCAAAGATCTATAAGAAAAATCATTTGAGACGTGTTTCACACTTTTCGCAGAATCCAAACTTTTTCGGGTGGAATGCGACTCAAAGATTTTTTGTGCGAAGTTTTAAATTGTGTCCGATTTGCTTCAAACTCATTTTCAAAGCTCTACATAAGAATGTAATGAATACGTGTTTCAGCGATTTGAGAAATTCCACTCGCAACAGTGGTAAATTGGCGGAAAACGTTTGTATGAAAGTTATTTGTTTACCGTCCGATCAGTTTCAAAATCATTTCAAATTTGCTTGAGAACATTGATTTTATAACATACGTGCCACGGGCAAGGCCGGGTTATACCCGCTAGTATAAAATAAAATAATAATAATTATTAAGCTATAATAAATATCTACAAATCTTTGCGGATGAATAAAAATGTATAAAAACATACGATTATTCTGCACAGCAAAACAAATTAAATGAGAAATAGTTCAAAAATATATAGGTAAATGTTATTTCTAAAAGGCCTTACACCTGACAATCCTCCAATCCAGAATTTAGATTGATTTTCAATCAATTATTTGTATGCCCTTATAGAGATTTTATAATTATATCACGAAATGTGCACGATCGGACCACTATATCGGCCATATCGGACCACTATTTCGATCGATCGAAAAGTAGGTTCATATTTGGCAAAATATTCCGTTTTCCAAATACATTTCTCATCAAATTCAGCATTTACGAGCTTCACTATGTTCACATATTTACAAGGGTATAAAATCTACGGCGTGCTGAAGATATCCCTCTTTCTCATTTTAAATAGTTTTATTTCTGTCATAAATTATAT